CTGAGATCAAATGATCCCAGCAAGGTGTCTGTCCAGTCTCCTCTTAAAGACTTCCAAGGTTGGGGACTGCACCACCTCCTTGGGAAGTCTATCCCAGATTCTAGTCACCCTTACCAAAAAGAAGTTCTTCCTTGCATTCAACCTGAAAACTTCCTCTAACAGTTTATGGCCCTTGTACCTTGTCCTCCCTTGGGACACTCTAGTGAACAGTTTTTCCTCCCAGCTCCCAATATTCATCTCTTACATACTTACATATGGCCACCAAGTTCCTCCTCAATCTTCTCTTCCCCAGGCTAAACAATCCAAGATCCCTTAGTCTTTTCTCATAAGGTTTGTCTTCCAGAACCTTAATCATTCTTGTGGACCTTCTCTGGACCCTTTCAAGATTCTCCTCATCTTTTTTGAAGTGTAGCACCCAGAACTGGACACAGCACTCCAGCTGGGGGCTCACCAATGCCAAGTAGAGGGGAAGTATCACTTCCTTAGCCCTGCTCACAACACATTGATTAATGCCTCCCAGTATGCTATTAGCTCTGTTGACTACAGCATCACACTGGCAGCTCATGTTCATTCTGTGATCAACCAAAACCCAAAGGTCCCTTTCAGCCATTATGCTGGCCAGGACATCTCCTCCTAACCTATATTCATGTAGCTGGTTACTTCTCCCTAGCACTCTGCATTTATCCTTATTGAACTGCATCTGGTTCTGCTCTAACCACCTTTCCAGCTTGTCTAGATCTGCTTGGATCTGCATCCTATTCCCTAGCACAACTGCTTTTCCCCCATAACTTGGAACTGAGTTAGTATCGTCTTATTCTACTAGTTTCATTAAATGTACCAGATGACTTAAAAACACCAAGGTACAATAAGTATAAGCTAATAACACAAGCCATGTTTAGTATAATTATTATTAAAGTTCTTACCAGGAGAGGCTCTTAAGATATGCATCTCATTTTCATGAAAGTCCCAAGTGGACAGCACTTATGCACGGTTGCTTTAGCAGAGCGCAAATAATATGAAGCAGGAAACTGAAGAT